TTAATTTCTAACATGTTATGCAAAAAATGATAAATATAACATGAAAAATAATAGACATAATACAAGAAATTACAAGAGTATATGAAAATTATTACAATTAAATAATATTAAAATAATTTTTTTTAATATTTATTTAAAAATTAGATATTTTTTAAATTTGTTTTATGAAAAAATAAATTATTATAATTTATTATTTTTATATTTTATTTAAATTTATCAAAAATTTAAATAGTAAAAATTCTTTTATTATATAATTATTTTTAATTAATATAATTTTTTATATATTTATACTATGATTATATTTAATTATAATAACTATCAATTATATCAAATATAATAACTAGTTAATTTATAATAAATAACTTAATAATTAAAAATTTATTACTAAAATTATTATTAATTTATATAAATTCAAATTTTTTTAATAATAATATAGTACTAATTTGAAAATAATATAATAATTAATAAAATTATAAAATTATATATAGTAATAATTATTTTTATATAAAGTTTTTAATTTTATTAATAAATATTTTATTTTTATATTAAAATAAAGATAATATTATATATATCAACATATAGTAACAATCAGAAATAATGTAATAATATTAAAATTTATTATAGTAAAATGTGAATTTTTTTATATTAAAATGAAGATAATATTATATATATTTTAACATATATTTTTTTCTGATTTTTTAGATTTAATCTGGTAAAGCTATTTTAATTATATATAAAACTAATTATTTTTTATATGTTTTAATTATAAAAAAATAATTAACTTTATATATAATTAGAATAGTTTTATCAAATTAAATCTAAAAATCTGAAAAAAATATATATTAAAATATGTGATATTATCTTTATTTTAATATAAAAATAAAAAATATTTATTAGTAAAATAAAAAACTTTTATATAAAGAGAAAAATTTATATTTTACTATATTTAATTAATAAATTTTAAAATTATTGCATTATTTTCAATTATCATTATATATTTTGTTAGATTTATTAGATTTAATCTAATTAAATTATTTTAATTGTATATAAAATTAATTATTTTTTATAATTAAAGTATATAAAAAAATAATTAATTTATATGTAATTAGAATAAATATATGCTAAAATATATAATATTATATTTATTTTAATATAAAAATAAAAAATATTAATTAGTAAAATTAAAAATATTTATATAAAAAGAAAAATCTATATTTTACTATATAGTTAAATCTTTTTATAGTTATCATCCTCAAGAAAGTAAAATTTGGTAACTATAGAAAAGATGTGAGTATAGAAAAGTTTTTTACTATATTTATATATAAATAAGAAAGAAAAATAAAATAAATATAAAAAGGTATAATTATAAATAGATATGACTATAAAGAAGTTTGACTATATTTAATTAATAAATTTTAATATTATTGTATTATTTTTTATTGTTATTATATATATTATAAGATTTGAAATTATAAAATAAAAATATATTATTATATTAAAATATAAAAATTAATTCAAAATCAAAATTTTTTAAATTAAAAATATAATAATTAATAAAATTATAAAATTATATATAGTAATAATTATTTTTATATAAAATTTTTAATTTACTAATAATATTTTTATTTTTATATTAAAATAAAGATAATATTACATATTTTAACATATATTTTTTTCAAATTTTTAGATTTAATCTGATAAAGCTATTCTAATTATATATAAAATTAATTATTTTATTATAATTAAAATATATAAAAAAATAATTGATTTTATATACAATTAAAATAGCTTTATTAGATAAATTTAAAAAATCTGAAAAAATATATATTAAAATATGTGATATTATCTTTATTTTAATATAAAATATTTATTAAAATTGAAAACTTTTATATAAAAAGAAAAATCCATATTTTACTATATTTAATTAATAAATTTTAATATTATTGCATTATTTTTGATTGTTAATGTATATAATAAAAAATTAAAATTTTTGTGTTATCTAAAAGTTTTAATAGATATTTTTTAATATATTTTTAAATTTAATTTGATAAAGTTATTCTAATTGCAAAGTTATTTATAATTAATTTTTATATTTTATTTATAAAAAATTTTTGTAATAATTTTGTAAGATTTAATTTAAAAAATTCAAAAAAAATATATATTAAAATATAATTTAAAAAATATAATAATATTAAAATTTATAATAGAATGTATATTTTTTATATAAAAGTTTTCAATTTTATTAATTAATATTTTTTATTTTATATGAAAATACAAATAATTTTTTGAATTACAAAGTAAATTAATTAATATTTTATATATTTTAGTTATAAAAAATTTTGTATTTTCATATAAAATAAAAAATATTAATTAATAATTTAAAAATTTTATATAAAGAAAAATAACTATATTTTATTATAAATTTAAATACTATTACATTTTTTTATTATTATTATATATTTAATAATTTTGTTAAATAATTTGATAAATTATTTTGTTGTTAAACTTCTTGTTATATATTATCAAAAATATATTTATATATACATGTCATCATTCTATTTTATTTTATATTTTTTTAATTATAAAATTATAAAATCTTTTTAAAACTATTTTTATTTTAATATTATATAACAATTATATTCTTTTCAAGAATCAATTATAATAAAATCATTTTTTTATAGTTATATTTATAATAAAATTACATTTATTATTATTAAACTAACAATATAATTATTGAGTGCTAACTATATTAACTTTATTTGTAATATAATAAAATATCAATTAATTCATTTTTTATACTATATAAAATAAAATAATAAGATTTTGGCCAAATAATATTAAAGTTGTTGTCAAACCTCTTAATAGAACAATATTTGCATATCGTAAAGATTAAGAACAGTAACAATAATTGGATGGTTGGAATTTATGTATTACAACTTTAAAGCCAGATTCTGCATATCAGATACAAGTACATGAAATCACGTGGTTTTATTTAAGTGGATCCAATTAATGCTAAAAATACTTTACATTAAATAAATGAATTATATTACCTCAATGACCGAGAAAACCAAATAATAATAATAGTAGTAATTAATTGTTTTATACAAATGCAAAAGTAACACAATAAATATTAACGTCTATAATTGTTAATAGTATTGCTTTTGGTTTTGCTGCATGTGTTGTGAATGTTGTTGCTGCAGATATGGCTGTTGATGTTGTTGCTGAGATGTAGTAGTAGGACCCGAAGCACCATCACCTGGTCGACCCAGAAATCCAGGATCATGTAACGTAATGCCAGGTCTTCCAACGCTTGAAGCAGCGCCAGAAATAGCACTAGCTTGCTGTCGTTGTTGGAGCTGCTGCTGCTGTGTATTATTATTATAAGTTTGATGCCCATATTGTTGTTGTTGTTGCTGCTGTTGTTGCTGCTGCTGTTGTTGCTGCTGATACACCAAATATTGCTGCTGTTGATTAAACTGAGATTGTTGCTGTGGGGGCTGATAGTGATATACTTGTGGTGCTTGATGTGGATATTGAGATTGCTGCGGCTGTTCCATCGGTTTTTGTGAAAATGGTTGTTGTAGCAATAAATTTTGTGGTTCTTCAGAGTTTGGTAGTTTAGGTGACCCAAGCTCGATAGTTTTCATTAATTCGGTAATACTGTCTTCGATTTCTTGCTGAAATGTAGGTGGTGAGACAACTTCAACTGGAGATTGATCCTATATGTGAACAAAACTTATAATTAATAATTATATTATTAATAAACAAAATTTTATAGATGGGTTAATTGGATACTTGCAATTTTTTCTGGCGAATTTTCTGGATTAAACCTAAGGGGATCAGTATTGACCAATGGATCAAATGAAGGCTTCCATTGAAGTGAATTACTAAATTGACCTTTTTGCTCTGTTGACAAATAGTTTGTATATTGTCCCTGGTAAGAAGGCGGAGCAGGGTAATTTGGCGAATGATGCGCGGGTGGAGTCTTTTGAATCCGAGTCTGTTCCGATAAAATTGGAATTATGTATTGCGATGGTTGATTTGAAATTGCCGAAATCTGTGTTTGGTCTGGAGAAGAAGAAAAACCAGATTGTGGATAACTCGATTTACGTTCAGAAGAGGAAGGAGTCGAAGGATATTTTTGGGCTTGATTCTGAGAATGAGTAGTAGATTGTTCATTTTCAGAAGACGACGAAACGTTCGGATTAACATCGGAGGGAGGAGTTGGATATGATTTATCAGAATTTTGCGAGGGGATCGATGAAATCGTTTGTGGAGGATAGAATTGAATCGGATGTAGTGGTTTTGACTTTGGCTGATCAAGTGGTTGTGGATAATTTAGTTGTTGAGAAGGTGAGTCAAAGTCCTGTAGCTTTTGATTATTCTTTCTACTGTCAGAATTTAGATCGGACGCCTCGTTCTGATATAAAAAATTAAGATTTGTTTTTAATGTAATCAAACTAGTTGAATATTTTATCAGTTAATAGTATTCGACTTACACTTTTTTGATTTTCTACATTCATTTGGATAGCACCATTTCCAGATTGTGAAAGTTCCGCGGATTGCGAATAATACTGTGTAGAAGGAGGTGGATAATTTGGAGGCGAATATTTATTCTGAGAAATCTCGGTAAGTGGCTTTGACTTTTGATCAAGTGGTTGTGGATAATTTAGTTGCTGAGAAGGTGAGTCAAAGTCCTGTAGCTTTTGAGTATTATTTCTACTGTCAAAATTTGGATCGGACGCCTCGTTCTGATATAAAAAATTTAAGATTTTTTTAATGTAATCAAACTAATATGTTATCATTTAATAATATTCGACTTACACTTTTTTGATTTTCTATATTCATTTGGATAGCACCATTTCCAGATTGTGAAAGTTCCGCGGATTGCGAATAATACTGTGTAGGAGGTGGATAATTTGGAGGTGGATATTTATTCTGTAACATCTCGGTATCTGGCGTTTCTCCCTATTACGTTTGAAAATTATGTAATGTAACTGAAAAAACTTAAGCGATATTCGAGTTATAAATAATCTACTTGTACATACGGCTTTATTACTCAAATACAAAGGATTCGATTGTGTATTCGGAAAGCCAACCGAAGAAGCATCGTTTGATTTGTTCTGAGAAATCTCGGTATCTGATATCTTCTCCTATTATGATTGAAAATTATGTGATCTAGCTGAAAACGATATTCGAATTACAAATAATCTATTTTGTGCATACCGGTTTGGTATTCAAATGCAAATGATTCGATTGTACATTCGGAGAACCAACTGAAACATTAATCGGTCCCGTGGAGGATACTTCATATCTTGTTTGTGAAAAGGACTGAGTAAAATCTTGTGAATTATATTGATGCTGTTGTGGTGGTTGTTGTGATTGAGCTTGCTGTGATTGTGATTGATGGTAAGAAGTTGACAAATCCTATTTTTGTAGTATATGAATGTACGAGATTAACAAAAATTAAAAATTCTACTTCAATTTACTCATTACTGAATCATCGAAAATAATAGGATAAATTAAAAATTTACTTTTTCTTTCTCTTCTACATGATTTGATTGTGAGATTGTTTGTATATTACCAAAATTTGGTTCATTTTTTGAACCATTCTCTGTAGAAGCTGCAGAAATAACCTCACGTCCTGGTTGCGTTGATGTTGGTGTATATTGTTCAGAAGGTTGATATTTGATTTGTATAGACGAATTTGAAATTTGATCAGGTGGAGGATAATTTGAAGAGGAATATTTAATTTGCGAGTCGTGTGAAATTGTTGATACCAGATGTTGGGGTGGAACAGTAGCTTGTGATACAGAAGCTGAAGATTGATTTTGCTCGGGTGGAAGATAATTGGGAGGTGGATATTTAAGTTGTAAGTCGTATGAAGTTGTTGATACCGGATTTTGGGGTGGAAAAACAGATTGTGATACAGAATTTGATGATTGATCTTGCTCGGATGGAGGATAATTTGAAGGTGAATGTTTAATTTGCAAGTCGTGTGAAGTTGTTGAAACCGGATTTTGAGGTGGAAAAGCAGATTGTGATACAGAAGCTGAAGATTGATTTTGATCAGATGGAGGATAATTTGAAGGTGAATGTTTGATTTGCAAGTCGTGTGTAGTTGTTGAAACCGGATTTTGGGGTGGAAAAGCAGATTGTGATACAGAAGCTGAAGATTGATTTTGATCGGGTAGAGGATAATTGGGTGGAGGATAATTCGGAGGCGGATATTTAGGTTGTGTTTTAGATCGTTGTGAAGGAGACTGCGGAGAATGGTATTGTTCAATAGGTTTCGAATCAGATGGTGGTGGTATTAATTGTCGATTTGATTGGTTAATGGGTGCTAGATTATTATGTGGATCATAATCATTTTCTTTTGATTGTTGAGGGTAATTAGTATCAGGTGACGAATATGATGATTGATTTGGAGATTCGTGCACACTTAAAGTTGAGGAATGTGACGGGGATTGCGTATATTTAGAGATCTTTGGAGAAACATCTGGAGGATATGCTGGATATTCAGTAGGCGGAGGAGGATATTCGATTGGAGGAGGTGGCGGATAAAAAATTTCTGGCTTTTGAGATTGTTGATATGAATAAACAGACGTAGATTGATTGGTAATATCTTTCTTTTTCGGTAGCACTCCGATTTTTATGTCAGGGGATGGTTCATTTCGTTGCTGGAGTGGTATTTGAGGTTGTGATTGCAGCACTGGAGGATCAGATAATTGGACATAATAAGGAACGCCAGGTGGTTTTTGTCCAATTGATGGTATTTGATTATTATTGGGCACATGAAGAGCGTTTTGAGTCAGAGTTCGTTGCGGGCCACTTGGATCCTGACTAGGGTAATACCCCAGTTGTTGTAATTGTTGTTGTTGAGGTGTAAAGGTTGGTGATTGTGTTGAAAATTCAATTGCAGTTGGAGATTGGACTTGTCCACCTGGTCCATATAATCCATTATGAACGAATTTGTCAACAGGGGGTCTAAACCCTGGTTGGTATTGGTCAACAGAGGTTCTAAACCCTGGTTGATATTGGTCAACAGGGGATCTAATCCCTGGTTGGTTTGATATATGTCGTTGTTGCTGTTGTTGTTTTTTACTAGAAGTCGAAAGCACTTTTAATTGTTTTAAAATTCCTTTTCCAGCTTTCTTTAGATCACCTGTCAATGACTTATGCTTTGATGAAGACGATGTCAATGTACTGTTACCGTTATTATTAATACCATTACCACCAATCGATCCAAGTGGTTGATGCCCATAATGTGGTGGAGGCCGTTGTTGGTGATTTTGATAATATTGCTGCTGCGAAAAATTATTTGTTATATGAGGTGGTGGTGGTTGTTGTTGATGCTGATGCTGATGCTGGCTATTATTTGCTGCGAATGGTTGTTGATTTGAATTTATCGATTGTTGATTCTGTTGATACCCAGAAGGCAAAGATTGATTATTTGTAGTAATCTGAAATTGCTGTTGTTGTGGTGGCTGTTGTAGATATTCGGGCTGATGCGGTGATGAATAAGGATTTGGAGTCGTATATTCATATTGAGATGGGGATTGAAGAGCCCCCGCTGTTGAAGGTTGCCGTTGAGCCGAATTTGATCTGAAATTGCTATTTACTGATAATTCATTACTCGAAGTTGTTGAGTCTGGTGGTGTTGATTCATGTGCTCTTGGATCATTCTATATATGTGAAAAATTAAGTCTGATATTTACTTGTATCATTATTTATTCTCAATAATACTATTAAACTATTGAACTAACCCATGTCGTAAATTTCGACTCGATATGAACATCTAATCATAAGGTTCAAATTTTAAGTCAATAAATTATATAATTATAGTCAAGGAATTTGCGATATCTTAAGTGTAACTTGATGTTTACTTACAGTAATGTTTTCCAGTATCTTGATGGAACTGTGTTAATTAATAAGCGAGTGTAAAGGAATTAGAACTCGGAATTAACGAAAAATTAAAATCAAAAAGACCAAATTATTATAAATTTCTATATATAATAAAAAATTATTTTAAAATCTCCGAGTACAAAAAAACACTTTAAAAAATCAATTACCCATCTCCATAAAATTACGAATTCAATAATATTAAAACCACATTAAACTATAATAACATTCTTTATTCTTAATAAACACATTGACATTTTCCTCCGCTTTTTATTCTTATTTACATCTTCTTTTTATCCTAATTCTCTTTCAAAATATTCAAAAAATAATGAAGAAAATTCAATCAAATTAAAAAAATGAAATGAAAAAATAACAAAAAGCTTACTCGTTCTTCCCACCCTGGCGGTAATGGTGCAGACATGATAATAACTTTTTATCTACCAATAAAAAAGTCTGCTATATCTTATTCGTGACTAGTTCTCCGTTAAATAGTGCCTTTTTTTCCAGTATATAATACACAAGAAAGCACTTGCTCGTTTTCTTTCAAAACTTTTTAACTTTTCATAAATAAATAAAAATGGAAGATTCTATTGCCAATTGCATCATCTGGAAGATTCTTTTCTCCGAATAAATTACAAAAGTCACCATTGAACGACAAACAATGTACTTACCTATATAGGAAATTAGCTGCATTGTGAAGTGAAGATCAACTTATCGTAATTTGTTTAACGTTAAATCTGGAAAGAAAAATAAATTTAAACGGCCGTTTTTCAAGCTTTCGCACCTATTGAACTTTTTTTTATTTCACAATCAGTTAAGTGAATATTTGAGATGAATGCTAGGTAAACTTTTTTTTCTTCCGATAAGTCAATGTGAAAATTTATTTAAATAAGTTCCCTTTATTTGCATAATTACATTAATAAATTACATATGTATCATTATATTATAACAGCAGAATATTGTTCTATTTATTATCTACGTGTCCAAAATAATCAACTGCTTGAGGAGGACCAGTGGAAATAATTTCATCCTGCGGTATTATATACCCGTTAGCACCGTTTGAAACTGGTTGATGCGTTGTAGGAAAAGAAGTTTGAAATGGTGTTGGATTGCCATTTTTCTTTGCACTCGATATGAACTTTTTCCCTGTATTTATTCCGAATTTTAAAGTCGCTTCGACCGCTTTTCCCGCTTTGCCGCTAAAGTCCCGAGAGTAATCTTGATATTTTTGATCTGAAGTGGCAGTTGTTGTATGGTGAGGACCTAATGGCATTGTATGGTGTTTGAAAGGCGGAGAAACAACTGGATTACTCGTGGGCATCGGCAATGAATTTTGATGAATAATAGGTGGTCGCGTTGGATTATGATTAAATGCTGTATGAAATGGATCAGGCATATTAGTGACCGGTGGAGTTGGCATCGATACAGAAGGAACCCAAGGACAGGATGGTACAGCATGTATTGAAGGAAATGTCGAAGGTTGAGCCTCTGGATAAGATGGATGAGCTGCTCCTATACTGGGAGACATTGGTGGAGAAGAATATGCAAGTTGCGGATTGAGACGTGGATCATCCTGCATTTGATGGCATTGAATGAGCATCATTTATTAAATGTTCAATTCATTAAATCGAAGATAGAGTTTTTTTGTTACCCAAGTTGTTTTTCCATTCTTTGTATCGACATCTAATAATTCAAAATTAATTTTTGTTGATTGAAATCAAGCAAAAGTAGTTTACAAAAGAATTTTACATACAAAAGTTACATCCAGTCATAACGTCAAACTACAAAATATTTAATTTCTTAATTTTTTGATAAATATTTAGAATATTCAGCAAATAAAACATCGACAGCTTACTCGTTCTTCCCAACCAGATGGTAAAGGTCCGGCCATGATATGTAAAATAGGTATGTAATTCGGAAAACAAAACAAATAAAAATGTGTATGAAATTAAACTTTGGAAATTTCTTTTAAGAACTCATGGACGAAAAAATAACGTTTTTATATATGAAAAAGAATTCGCTAACAAACTAACTGGTTGGTATTACACGTGTTACAGTATGCAAATAACACAAAGGGATTATTGTTGTGCGTTTTGTAATTAATAATTTGATACGCAGTATTTTTTCCGATGCAAGGCTTAGTTTGGTAAAAGGATAAAGAATGTGTGCATTTTTTTGCGTGTTGCACAAGAAAAATTTCTTCCATTTGATTCTAATTTATTCTCTTATGTGCGAAAGCAAGAAATTATCATGCAATTCTTGATCACAATAACGGTATTTCTAATTATAACGATAGCAAACCTGTATTGATAATTCACTACTATAAATGGTATTGGTGTAGAGGGGGAGGGCTAAATATCGCAATTACTTTTGGCGTAAAGTGTAAATTATTTTTGGCAGCCGTAATTTTTATATATATTTAGATATCCACTACAACAACAAATGTATATTTTCATTATGTGTAATAATTAATAAATTGAACTGTTTCATCTTTGATGCATGCAGACGTATACATGTAGCAAAAAATACATGTAAAATGCTTTTTGAGGTAGATAAACATGAAATTTGTTTTCATATAAAAATTTCTTAAAATGGATTTAATTTATATCATACATTAAAATACATGTATAAATCAAATCAATTTATATGTGCAATTCTATAATTATATTTGCTATCATATATCTTTTATGAAAAGTAAAATCAAATGACTGTAGGGAGCTGTGACTAAAAATAATTTTTCTTATTAATAATAAATAGTAAGCATCAATTAACAGTTCATGAATGAAGAAGAATTAAACACAAAATCTGCATTTTTTTATTTCATTTAATCAATATGAATTTGATCTTCAATTAGTCAATTTGTACAAAGTTGTTCCACAATATTTGTCTAAGAAAATTATAAACTAGAAAATCCAAAATTTATATATATATAGTTTTTAATATATTTTTTCTAATAATATAAAAATTTTCGATATTAAATCTTAAAGCTCCAAAATATAAACATACAAAATTGAATAATTATATAAACAAAACTACATACATGTATAATTAAAATACTTGTTCCGATTTCAAATAAATATGAATTGTTTATTCACATAATTTAATATTTTTCATTGCAAATTATGTTTTTTATTATTGATTTAAGTAATATTTTATATAATTTGCAATAAACAATTATTTAATTTATATAATAAATATATATATACTCTTAATATTATATAAAACAAGTTTATTTTGCAAATTATTTTAATCTTATAACTTATGATTGAAAATTATTATATATTATATATTATATATTAAAATATTATCGAATTTACATAAAAATTTAGAAATGATTTTTTTATAATATAATAATTATATTTTTTTAAGATTATTTTGTTAAATATATATGAAATTATATATAATTATTTATAATTTAACTTTTGTATTTTATTTTGAATATTTTGATAATATAATACAAACTATTCAAAGTTATCAAGATTTGTATTTGATAAATAAATAAACTTTTTTATTAATAATAAAATATAATAAAAATATAAAAAATATAGAATTTTAATTTTACTAATATATATTTTTTATTTTATATAGTACTTAATCTCTAAAGTTATTAATATTTATATTTTATAAAATATATAAATATTTTTACTAATAAGTAAATACAAAATTTAATCTATGAATATGATAAAATAGATCTTTTCTGAACAGATTTATTTTTTAGCAAAAGTATTTATATATTTTATAAAATACAAATATTTGATGACTTTAGATATTATATATTATATATTATATTAAAATACAAATAATATCACATATTTTTTAGATTTAATTTTATATATAATTTAAGAATATTATGTAAAATTAAACTTAAAAATCATAAAAATATATATTAAAATATGTAATATTATTTTAATTTTATAATATTCATTAAAAATAATATATTTTTCTTAAAATTTTATATATTATATATAATATATCAAAATTTTTTGAGCACAAAAAATATTATAAATACTGATTGTTAATATTTTTTATAAATTAATAAAGCTTTTATATTCTATATTATATACTTATAAACTTTTATATTTCATATAACAAAATTCATATTGATCACATAAATTCTTATTTACTATATCACATATAAATTATTATAAATATATTCTAGAAATTATTACACAAATTATTATTCTATTTGTAATTAAATAAATTACTTATTAATTAATATAATATTAAATTATTAATTAATTTACAAAGATAATTATATTATTAATTTTCTAAATTCTTTATATTTATTAATTAGTCATCTTTTCTTTCTATTTTGTTCTTTTATATTATTAATTATATGTTTTTTGAAAGTAAAATAATCTATAAAATTATATATATTAATTAATTTATATATTTTAATTATTTATATATTTTTATTTTTCTATTTAAAGTACTATTCTGTTCTTGTATTTTTCTCAACAATTTGTTTTTAATATTAATAAAATAAATATTAAATTATAAAATTAAATTAAAACTTGTTTATTATAATAAATTATTATTATTGAAATATATCAAGACTAAAGATAAAATTATAATTAATTACAACTTGATTATAATTTTTTAATTAACTGTCATAATTAATTATAATTAAATTATAATTTTAATTAAATATCACAAATCACAATTAGTTAAAATATTATCTTAATTAATATAATTTATAAAATGACAAGCTCATTGACTAGAAACTTTATAAGTAAATAATTTTTATGATTTATCAATTACTGAACATTTTGAAATTGATAAAACTTATAAGAATTTAATATAATATTTTTATTAATCAAAAATGAATAAAAGTATTAGAAAATATATAATTAATTATAAACAAAATCAAAAAAATAAAAGTAATTATCAATTATTTGCTAAACTTTTACAATCACTTTCAATATCAAATTAATAATAAAAACAAGTCTTCATGAATTTATTGTTTAATTATCAATCACTAAATAATAACATAATACAATAATTATCTTTGTTAATCAACTTTTAAAATATATACACTTTTATTTAATATATATTACTATTATAACACTTAATATTATAAAATATTTTTTAATATTATCTTTAAGTTATATGCACTATTTCATATTATTATATCAAATAAAAATGCAAAATTTACTAATTATTTTTGGAAATTATTATTTAAACAAATAGATATAAAATTAGTTATGTTAACTGCTTTTTACTCACAATTAAATAAAAAAATTAAAAGACTTAATTGCATACTAAAAGAAATATTTTATATTTATATTACATATAAATAAGATTATTGTAATAATTATTTATCTGCTACTGAATTTGCTTATAATAATTCTAAACAAGTCTTCTCAACGAAATACTTATTATATAAATTAGACTATAAATAACTATTACTTATACTTATTATACTAGTTACTAGAAATAATAATATTATTATTGCTAATAATTTTATTAAAAATTTATTAATGAAAGCTCAAAATAGACAAGTTAAATATATTAATTAATATTGATAACATAAAGAATTTAATACTATAGATAAATAAATATTTACTAAAAAATTATTATTTAAATTTATTAGATCTTATACTATTATTAACAAATTTTTTTTAGTTATATATAAATTGAATTTATCTTTATCATTAAAATTTATTTTGTTTTTTATATTTTTTTGTTGAAATTTTATATAGTTAAATTAATTTTGAATAAAAGAATTATTTGTAAAAAGTCTTAATATCTTATTAAATAGACTGAATATTTCTTATATGATATTACTTGGAAATCTTTAAAAAATCTTAATAATATATTTAATTTTGTCCAAATCTTTAAATTTTTGTGAAAATAAATTAATAATAATATTAATTCTTAAGTAAAAGAATATTGTAACAAAATTCATATTGATTATATATATTCTTATTTATTGTGCCACATATAAATTCTATAAATTATTCTAAAAATTATTATACAAATTATTATTTTATTTTTAATTAAGTAGTTCATTTATTAATTAGTATAATATTAAATATAGTTGGACGCTTAAACTGATAATACTTAATTGTCATAAGTTACAGCTATAGAGTTATAAAAATTATATAATCCTAAATTCTAACCTAAATCATGTACCAAATAGCATCACATAGTTTAGATGTCCAACTATAATATTAAATTATTAATTAATCTACAAAGATAATTAAATTATTAATTTTTTAAATTCTTTGTATTTATTAATTAGTTATCTTTTTTTATTTTATTTTTTTATATTATTAATTATATCTTTTAGAAGTAAAATAATCTATAAGATTATATATATTATAAATTATTAATTAATTTATATATTTTAATTATTTATATATTTTCATTTTTCTATTTAAAATATTGTTTTATTCTTGTATTTTTTTTCAATAACTTATTTTAATATTAATAAATAAATATTAAGTTATAAATTAAATTAAAACTTGTTTGTTATAATAAATTAATATATATAATTTATTATTTTCATATTATTAATATCTTATATAACAAGATTAATATATTTCAAATACAATAAATTATTTACTTTGTCATGATCAGGCTTTTGATAGGTATTATCATAACATAAGTATTTAACCAATGTCTAATGACAGTAATTTTTATGATTATTCAATCTCTTTGTAATGAGTATACTTCAAGATCACTATGCAGTGCATTTTCTTCTATTCATTGAATAGACTCTTACTATTACTAATAGATGTTATATCTATTTAGTATGAAATAGTTCTATAATAATACAGTACTGATATTCTATAGCAATTTTGGTGATTGTCCAATAATACACAATAAATATAAGTATTATTCAATCAATTAATATACAAATTTCATTAATAATAAATAAGAATAGTT